ATAGGTACTATAGAGTCCCTTGAGTGAGCAGAGAAGATTCTTGTTAAGGACTTTATTGTATTTCCTGGATCATTTTTCCTCTGATATGTATTCCTTATATGTATTGTTCTACTGACATTCTTTGGGAGAGGAAAGTAGTATCTTACATAGATCCCATGGTAGCTATTTACTAAGAAATAATCACTATTTTAATTTACAAAAATACCTCCATCAGCCCTCTAGATATAGCTTCTGTTTCACAGGAAATATCATATCTAGTGAAGCAAGCTAAATACCACAAGGAAGCAACCAGTCAGATCCAGAAGGTGGGACATTCTGTAGAACACCTGCCTCAATTACTTCCACTAGTAAGTGTCCTAAAAAAGGGACTGTACTAGATTAAAATAAACTTAAGGAAATATGTGATCCTGGATTGGATACTCAGTTGGATAAACTAGCTATAAGGATAATTGGAGTTCATTGGAGAAATTTTAATATGGCCTAGAAATTACATGACATAGAATGAAATTATATTGAAACACAAAGTTAGAGAGTGTTGACTAAGTAAAACAGGTTACAAAAAGGTTATAAAATAATTTTTACACTTAGGTCTCATTTTGGTACACACACACACACATCCCATAGTTCTCATAGAGAAGTTCCCCTGGAGAACATCTGAAGGTAGGAATATGCTGTTTGTTTGTTTTTTTAACTTCTCTGTATTTTCTAATGCTCTACAAGCATAGGAACTGCTTATGTAATAGTTTTTTTGGGTTTTTTTTGGTAGTGATACAGATTTAAATAGGACATATTTACCATGAAGATAATAAATCTTAAGCTTGGGAGCCCCTTAGTCACCTACCAAGGCCCTTAAGAGGACCTCTAGCCATTTGTACATACTTCTGTGAAATTTTTAAATTTTATTTTTGTGTTCTAGAATATTTTTATTGTGGTATAAATGCATATAACATACAACTCATTTTAACAATTTTTAAGTGTACAGTTCAGCAGTATTACATTCACTTTGTTATGCAACCATCACCACCATCCATCTCCAAAACTTTGCCATCTTCCCAAACTTAAACTCTGTATCCACTGGACGATAACTCTTATTCTCCCCTCTCTCCAGTATTTTTAAGAGTCTCCAAAATTGTATAAACTTAGGCCCCACATAACCTGGGCCCAGACCTAACTGACAATCAGCTTGTCATTCCTGAGCAAGCTTTGAAATGATACCTGATGTTGCCAATATGACTTTAGCCCCAAACCAAAGAACAGTCACCATAGTTAAGGATACTGTCACCAAAGTGCTCATCACCAGTTGTGCAAAATAGGAACAACTGTGGTGGCTTCAACATCACTGAATGCACAGGGAAACAAAAGCAAACTGTTTCTCATATTATTGGAATATGTATTTATACAACTTTTCCCAGAAGTTATATGGTTGTTATTCTTAAGGTCCTAATTTCCTGTAAATGTACCCTGTTTTCTTCATTGCTTAGAGTTATTGGTAAATAATACCATCATTTCCTTTAAAATTAGTCCAGAAGAGTAGATAGGAATTTGATATTATTGTATCAGCTAGTTTTTTTTTTAACCATGCAAGAGTGGTGCTGAGAGGGCACCTCTCATATTTATTGATCAAATGGTTGTTAACAACAATAAAATTCTGTATAGGGGACTCAATACACAAATCATTAATCAACCCAAAGCCTAACTCTCAACAGTCTCCAGTCTTCTGAAGCATAACGAACAAGTTCTTACATAGTGAACAAGTTCTTACATGTTGAACAATGCAAGGGCAGTCATATCACAGAAACTGTTTCTGTTTTGATCACGGAACTATAAACAATCAAGTCAGATATGATTATTCATTTAATTTTTATACTTGATTTATATGTGAATCCCACATTTCCCCCTTATTTTTTTAATAAAATGTGTATCAGCTAGTTTTAAGTCTGGCTCCATGTAACAGAAAACCCAAATGTATTTCTCTTACACAAAAAAGAAGCTGGAGGTACACAGTCTAGGACTAGTACTGTAGTTTTATGGTCATTAAGGAACTGGAACCCTTTTGTCTGGCTATGCTACCATCCTTAGTATGGCACTCTGTGGCACAATGGGACTGCTTAAGCTCCAGCCATCAAGTCTATATTCCAGCCAGAAGGAAGAAACAGAGTGAAAAAGAGCATGCCCCCTTCCTACAATGACTCCCCCCAGAAATTGCATCTAACACTTGAGCTTACATCTCTTTTGCTAGACACAGTCATATAGCCTTACCCAGCTGTAAGAGAGGCCAAGAGATGTAATTTTTATTCCAGAAACTTGCGCCCAACTAAAAATCAGATATTCTATTACAAAAGGAGTGGAGAATATGGATATTGAGCTGGGCAACCAAGTATCTGTCAAATGGTTTTTAAGAAGATTCAGTGTGCTAGTTTTTGAGGCTTGGCTGGGGCAGGTAAGAAGGGGTAGACATCTTAAAGCACCATTTTATCATTGCTCAGCATTTTGTTTAGAGTTAAAAGCTTACTTCCTCATAGCTAGCTTTCTAGATTGGGTGTTAGAGCCTCTTCCACACAGCACAGAATTGGGCTTAACAGGCTTGTATGGAAAATATAAAAAGTCACCTTCCCAACTGAAGGGGACTTTTGAATATGCCAGTGGCCAAACATATACAAACCACATATCTAAGCCAATGAGCTCTTCTCTTGTGGGTAAGCTTTAACTGTGAAAAGCATCATATCAGGACATTAACTGCCACCACATTCATACTGTGTGCTGTTCCTGGGGAAATGTAAACCACAGGTCATGGTCTCTGACCCCATCCTTAGAGAATGTTACCATGAAGGACATTTTTCCCACATGGTAAACAAAAAATGAGGCATTTGAGTGCAGAAGTTGCTTAACCAATCAGGGAGCAGTTACAGGTGCTTGAGCAGGGGCATAATAGAAATGACCAGGTGAGGGCCTGGTGGAATCAGATAAGGAAAGCCTCATGACCTTTTGGCCCTCTCCCTGACTTGGTAATAAGATATAAAAATGAACCTCCATTGCATGTCGCATGTATTGGTTGCCAAATTGCTTTTCTAAATTGATGACATTTGACTTTGATGGCTAATACATGATTTAATTAATTCTGGAATTTTGTCCAAATTAGAATGTACTTTCTCCCTGAAGTGGGCTTGAATAGTCGGCAGCCTGTTTGGTTCTTTGCCCCTGGTCCAGCCAGCCCAGGTTTGGGGTTCTGTCTTCCTTTGGCTCAGCAATGAGGAGCACTGTCTTCCTGCGGGGGGCAGTGCATGGCTTGTTGGCCCAGCACAGCTGTCTCCCGTTTCTATTCCTCCCAGCTGGCAGCCTCACAAAGCCAGTCTCTGGGTAAGAAACTAATTATTTCCACTGCTCCTTCAGTTTGGCCTCCTAAGGGAACTAAGTTCTGCAGAACTAACCAGCCAGCCGTAGCAGAGCACAGAGCCCTGTAGTAGACAGACTATAGCCCTGTAGCTCCTTCCATAACCAGAAAAAACCTTCAGATAAGCCAGGGTGTGTGGGGCCTGCATCCTGTAAACCTCAGAAAGGCTGGGTTTTAAACAGACAACAGCTCTTAAAACTTTTTGGGGTAGGTTGCATTAGAAGTTAGGGAGGGTTAAAAGGCAGGGAGGGTATTTTCCTCTTAGCAGCACAAAGAGCTTCTCAGAGGCCTGCCTTCTTGCTCACTACTTTCTCAGCAAGTTCTGGGGCGCTGTGCCCCTGGGTCTCAAGAAGGTCTAGAGAATGTCAGGGCATAAACAAGTCATAAAAGCAATCTGGAGGAAAAGGGAGGTTCCTCTGCATTTCCTTTTCCTGCCCTGGCTTTTCATGACGTCATCCATTCATCATTGTGAGCTGATTGGCCGTCCCAGGCCTTGGCTAGCTGTCCCAGGCCAGGAGGGGAGAGGTAGATCCTAGGACAAATGCAGCAGGCCCCTGAGTATGCGCAGAAATGTTGCCATCAGTTCCACATAGAAAGACTTGGTGGAAATTGAAGGAGGCAGTAAAAGTCACAAAATCCTATCTAACCTTCCCTTCCCTGAATGCCTGGGAAGAATTCGGGGGCCTCTTGCCTGTGGATAAGGAACCAAACCCTGGAGTGGGCCTGGGTGTGGAGGAGGGACTGCTCTGCCAGACGGTTCATTCTCCAGAATTCAACCTGTTCCCTGACTCAGTGGTGTTTGAAAGCAACTTTGTCCAGGTACTTAGGGGTCACTCATAATGGCACTCCTTGATTTTTCTAAACCTGTTCCCAAGATGAGACCAGGAGAGCCCATCCCTGGGACTGGAGTGAAGTGAGGACAGAAGCAAGGAGTCAGTGAGCTCGCAAGGCCATCCCCATTTGACCCTGACTTTGCAGAGCCCCAGGCAGTTGTCAACCTAGGAAAAGAGCTGGGGTGTTCTCTGCTCTGAGCAGAGGATTTGGTATCTGAATCCCTCAATTTACCTCCCCCGGGCTGTCAGCCCAAAGAAATGAACAAAGAGGCAGTGAAATGAGGTACCCTATAAGGGTTCAGAGCAGAAATGCTGATTGGTGAGAGAATGGGAGCTGGGCTCTGAGACAGACCTGGGCTCACAGTGTGGTCCCTGGCTTTCTCGTCAGTGAGAGTGTCATTATGCAAGTGACCTGCACTCCCTGAGCCCAGTTTCCTCTCTTGTGAAAGGGGTTGGACTGACCTGGTTGTTACATGCAAACACGGGAGGCGAAGGCCTTGTGCAATGGGCACTCGGGGCATTTTTGTTTCCTTACTGGGGTCTCCTCAGGTCTGGGGGAATCCAGAATAAACAGCACTTGGGAGTTGCAAGGGACCTGACTGTGCAGGGAAGGTGCAGGAGATAAGAGGGCCCCTCAAAGAAGGGCCAAAGGATAAGCTTTTCTAAGAAAGGCCAGGAAACAGTATGGGGAGGAATCACAGAAATGTGACACGTCAGGGGACTTCTGGGTTACGGTTCTTGTGGGCAATTGCTAATAGTAAGTAGTGTAAATACTATTATAGTTGTTTAACCAATATATAGAATATATAGGTTCCAACAGTGGTTTTCAACAAGCAAAGATTTTGCCCCCGCCCCACCAGGGGCATTTGGCAATGTCTGAAGACATTTTTGAAGGGAGGGGATTGCTACTGGCATCTAGTGGGTAGAAGCCAAGGATTCTGCTAAACTTCCTATAGTGCACAAGAGCCCCCCTCCTCCCCAAACAAAGAATTATCCAGCCCAAAATGTGAATAGTGCCAAGGCTGAGAAATCCTTCCTAAAATAAATTGCCACTGCTGCCAAATACTCAGGCTGCCAAAAAGTGCCCGTGGGGCTGCTTTGCAGGTCAAAAAGGGCAGGAACTGGATAGACATCAACAAAGCCTCCAACACCATGGCCCTTGGGGTAACCTCCTCTGTGCCCTGCCTGCCCCTTCCCAACATCCTCCTCATGGCCAGTGTCAAATGGCACCAGGGGCAGAGCCAAACATGGAACAGACCGTCTACAGCCCCAAACATCATACTGAAGAGGTAAGTGGTACAGCTGGGAACAGGGTGAAGGGTGGCTCCAAAGCAGAGGCTGCTTTGTGACTAAACTCAAGGAGGGGAGAAGGCAGAGAAGTGATCTGCAGTGACGTTCATCTTGTTGGACAACAGTAACTCAAGACAGAGGGTGCACTGGAAACATGGAAGCCAAGCAGGGCAGAGGGAGGTATGGAGAGCGATGAGGGGCCAGTCAGCATGCCCGCTTTCCTTCTCACTGTGCTCTTCCTGCTGAATTTACAGATCTTGCCAGTTTGGGCAGAGGGGCAGGGAGGCAGTGAGGTGTGCAGGTGGAGCATGGATTGGGAGATGCAGGTCCTAGTGCTTGGTATGCAACTGGACTTGGATATTTGTTAGTTACCTGCTCATGGCAGTTTTCCTGCTGGTAAAGTGAATGGAACTAAGTCTCACTTAAAACTGTGACACGTAGTGGCATCACATGTGTCTGGGATGAAACAGCCCTTTTTGATGTTTGAGCCTCTTCAAATAATTGGTAAGATATCTCAAGAATCTCTAAACGTCCAAGTCAACCCTTCATTTCTGCATGTTGCCTCAGTGATAAACCTCTCCATTTTGTTCTGAGTGCACCTGTAGCAAGTAGAGCCCAGCCCCAGCTGACTAATATTTGATCCAAAGCCAGCTTCTTGAACTTCATGCCAGCTAAAATTCAAGGCATTAGATAAATGAATGGACAAGTTGGACAGTGCAGTCAGCTCGGGCAGAGGAGAGTAGTTCCCTTTGTGCTATCAAGAAAGAAATTGAAAAACCCTATGACCACAGCTGCCTTACTCCTAGGCTATCACTCTCAAGCAGGACCTAGAGAAAACCAGCATGACTATCGTGGTAGGGTAGGTGGAGGTTAAAATGCAGACTCCAGGGCTATAACCCAGAGCTACTGAATCTGAGTTTTAGGGTGTGTCTTCAGGTGTCTGCATTTTAACAGCTCTCCAGGTGAATCTATCTCCCAAAGTTTGAGCACCAGTGTGCTGAGCACTTCTCTCTCCTACCTGCAAAAGAGCCTCAGTTCCAAAGGAGAAGCAATAGGGTTATCAAAACGTCTTCCCCTTGTGCCTTTAGGATTCTCCCATTGAAGTTTGTGGAGCTCCAGGTCTGTGACCAGCTTCAGCACATCCTGCGGTTGAGGACAATCACTGAGAAGATCTACTACCTAAGGCTCCACCCTGACCATCCTAGGACTGTATTCCACCTCTGGATCCAACTGGTTCAAATTCTGCAGGAGGGCCTGTCCATCACCACCAAAGATCCTAGGATTCTTGTCACTCACTGTCTGGTACCCAGGAACTGCAGCAGCCCTGCAGGAGACTCTCAGGTAAGTGGGCACCATTACAGGCTCCAGCCACGGCCAGAGCTAAGTTGTGGAGCTTAGGTGAGCTGGTATGTGAGCACCCTTGAAGGCGACCCCTGCCCTGCCTTAGGCCTTTTCTAATCAGTTTTATTGAGGTACAGTTTACAACCATAAAATTCACCCATTGTATGTGTATACACTTCAACACCTTCAGTAAAGATATAGAGTTGTGTGACACCACAATCCAATATTAGAGCATTTCTGTCACTCTAAAAAATTCCTTTGGCCCATTTGCAGTCATTCTCTGTTCTGCTTCCTGCCCTAGGCAGCCACTGAGCTGTCTTCAGTCTCTGGAAATTCACATTTCTTAGACATTTCATATCAATGGAGCCCTACAATATGTAGTCTTTAGTGTCTGGCTTCTTTCACTTAGCTTCATGTTTTTCAGGTTCATTTACATTGTAGCATGGAGCCAACTCTGTGGCAGAGTCACATCAATAATTCATTCTTTTAAATTGCTGAATAGTATTCTATTGTATAGATATACCACATTCATTTATCCATTCACCAGTTGGTAGACATTGTTTTGTTTCCAGTTTTTGGCTATTATGAATAATGCTTCTGTGAACATTTGTGTTAAAGTTTCTGTATAAACATGTTTTCATTTGTCTTGGGTATATTCCAAGGAATGAAATTCCTGGGTCATATGGAAAGATTATGTTTAACTTTTAAAGAAACTGACAAACTGTTTTCCAAAGTGGCTGTACCATTTGACATTGTCACAGCAGTGCATGAGGATTTCAGTTTCTCCATATCCTCACCAACATTGGTATTGTCTTGTCTTTTTGACTAAGGGCATTCTACTGGATGTGTAGTGATTTTAATTTTAATTTCCCAAATGGCTAATGATATTGAGCAACTTTTCATGGGTTTATTAGTCATTTCTTCAGTGACATGTCTATTCAAGTATTTTGCCCATTTTAAAATTGGATTTTGTTTTCTTATTTAGTTGTTAGAGTTCTTTGTATATTCTGGAAATAAGTCCTTTATCAGATATATGATTTGCAAATATTTGCTCCCAGTCTGTGAATTGTCTTTTCATTTTTTAAACAGTGTCTTTTGTGGAGCAAACGTTTTAAATTTTAATTAAGTACAATTTATCAATTTTTTCTTTTATGGACCTGGTAATTGACTTCTCTGCTCAACCCAAAGTCACAATAATTTTTAACCTATGTTTTCTCCTAAAAGTTTTATGTATTTAGCCCTTACATTGAGGTCTATGATCCACTTTGAGTTACTATTAATGTACTTCCCATTGAATTGCCTTGGCACCTTTGTCAAAAAAATCAATCGACCATAAATGTAGTAATTTATTTTTGGATTCTCAATTCTGTTCTGTTGATCTGTTTGCCTATTCTTGTGCCAATGCCGTGGTGTCTTGATTAATGTAGCTTTATAGTAAGTTTTGAAATTGAGTGATGTATGTCTTCCAATTTTGTTCTTTTTCAAATTATTTTGACTATTCTAGATCCTTTACATTTCCATATAAGTTTTAGGATCAGCTTGTCAATTTCTACAAAATAGCCTGTGGAGTTTTGACAAGGACATGTCAAATTCATACATCAATTTGGAGAGAATGGATAACTTGATAATATTGAGTTTTCCAATATGTGAATACGAATATCTTTCCATTTATTTGGATCTCCTTTAATATCTTTTGGTAATGCTTTTGTAGCTTTCAGCATACAAGTTCTGCTACATTCTTTTGTTAAATGTACTCCTAAGTATTTTATTGTTGCTAATACTATTGTGAATAGAATTGTGTTTTCTTAATTTCATGTTTGCATCATTCATTGATAATATATAGAAATACAATTGGTTTTTGTATATTATCCTTGTTCGTTAAATGTAGCAGATTTTGTGGATTCATTGGGATTTTCTACACACATTCATGTCATCTATAGATAAAGACAATTTTATTTTGTTTCCAATATGGATCCATCTGTTTGTTTATTGCCTATTGCCTTAGTTAGAACTTACAGAACAATGTTTAATAGAAGTGGCAAAAGCAGGCATCCTTACCTTGTTCATGATATTAGGAGAAAAACATTCAGTCTTTTAAGTATGATACTAACTGTGGGGTTTTTGTAGATGCCCTTTATCAGGTTGAGGAAATTCCCTTCTATTCTTTGTTTATTGAGAGTTTTTATCATGAATGGGTATTAGATATTGTCAAGCGCTTTTTCTGCATTTAAGATGATCATGTAGGTTTTCCTTTATTCTATGAAAAGAGTGTATTACATTGAGTTTTAGATGTTAAGTCAACTTTGTGTTCTTGCAATAAATTCCACTTGGTTATGGAGTCTCTAATCCTTTTTACATCTTACTGGATTTGGTTTGCTAGCAGTTTGTCAAAAGATTTTTGCACCTATGTTCATTAGAGTTATTGGTCTGTAGTTTTCTCTCTATGTGAAATCCTGGCTTTGGTATTAGAGTAATACAAACCTTACTGAATGATTTGGGAAGTGTTCCCTCCTCCTCTGTTTTCTGAGTTTGTGAAGAATTGATACTACTAATTCTTTAAATATTTGATAGAATTCACCAATGGAGCCAACTGGGCCTTTTTGCCCCAGGCCTTAGCATGTGGCATAAAACTGACTTGAGCTATTATATAAACTCCGTGCAGGCAGGGATTTTCACGTCTCCTGCACTGCTCTATTGCTAGTACCTGGCATACAGCTGACATCCAATAAATATCAAATGAATGAATGAATAGGAGCAGCATGTGCAGCTGGAGCACCTTTGGGGATCGCAGGTAACAGGAAAGAAAGCAATTTAGGTGTAAAAAGCAGCTCAATATAGGATTTTCTTAGAGAAATTGTTTAAACGTTCATTAAGTTTCTACAATAAATATTTTATCTCCCCACATTCAAATAATAATACCCAAGTAGAACATATGAAGTTTATATGAATAGGCTATTCAATAACATATTAAGGGATGTTAATAAGAATAGAGAGATGATCTAAATTATTCAATGACGATATTATCCTTAGGGTACCAAAGGACATTTATAACAATACAGGGGCATAACAGATATGGCCTCAAGTTGCCTCTCTAAGCAGCTGACATTGCTGTCCAGAATTTGAGTTCCAAGACTTTAGGATGTGACCATAACTAGAAAAATGAAGAGAACCAAAGGCTTAACCACATGGCTTTCTTTTCCTCTCCATCTAGTTAACACAGAAGAAACCCCAAGCCTCCCAACCAAGTGAGAACCTCACGCAGCTAATGGCCAAGGGGGAGAGTGAGGCCCTCTCTCTGATTTTTGCTGACTTACACCAGCGAAACCAGTTCAGGTACTTAACTTAAATCAGGCTAGCCTGATATCTCTTCCTGCAGACCCAGTGGTCTGGGCTATAAGGTCCAGAAACCAAGTAACTTGGTTAATGAACAGAGAGAAGGCATGACACACTGCCACTGAGTATCCAATCTGTCTCCTTGACTCGGGGCAACTTTTTCCCTGTTCTCCGTGCCTTGTTCTCCTTCTCCACACAGCAAGCATCATAGACTGGACTCCAGAGGGGGAATTTTATAAAAAATGAAGAGTAGCTCTTCAATAGTAAGAATAAATTAGCAACACAGGTGGAAAAGTAAAACCTAATTCCTGATTCCTAAGAAGGGTAAATCCCCAAGTCACAAAACTTCTCCTTCCAGGCAACATTCAAGGCTCAAATTTCTAATCCTATAGAGAAATGACCAAACCATTGTTTACAATGTTGGCTGCTCCTTGAATTCATTTACCTACTCACTTGGCCTCCGCCTGGGCTTTATGGAGCTTCTGTGGTTATTTTCTAAATGTATAATCTGTTCTGGAAAGCACCATTGTACAGGCCTGTCTTCTGTTTGCCTGAGGAAATGTCCCTGTATGTACAAGTGACTTGGCATGGAGTCTTAAAACTGGTTGGTATGAGACACAAGTTAAAGCACTTAGATTATAGGGCACCACCATCAGAGGGCAAAGATAAAGCAGGAACAAGGGTCCTAGTGAGCTTGATTTGTGGTCTGAAAGAAAAGGGAGAACAGAAATGAATGAGTAAATGCCAGCAGAAGAGAAAGATGAGACTTTTTTCACAATAGGAACCAGCAACTCTGAGGCAGAACATAAAAGCTTCTTTCTGTGTGCTGCCAGTAAGCTGAAAACTAGTAGAGTCAGAGGAGGCAATCTGTTATAGTAGTTAAGAGCTCACCCAGATCTGGGCCCAAGTTACTACTAAAACTGTAAGCAGTTGGGCACATCGCATAACTTCTTTGGGCCTCAGTTTTCCTGTCTGTACAATGTAAATTATGATAGTGCCAACCTCATCCAGATATTTTAAGGATTAAATGAGCCCATATGCATCAAGTAATTGGCATGTTACTCAGCAGATTTAGAGGCAGATATAAATAACCTCTCAATAAATGTTAACTTGCATTATTAACTCTAACTTGGGTTGAATGTAGAAAAATGTTAACACAAGCAAAAGACGTGTCAGTTGCCTGCTGTTAAAGAATTTGTACTGGAGAGAAGACAAGTAGTGATTTTACAGCATCTTACTATGCAGATGGACAGTGACTGTGATGGGGTATGTGGAGGGGACTTGGTGAAGGGGGGAACCTAGTAAACATAATGTTCTTTCTGTAATTGTAGATTAATGATACCAAAATAAAAATTAAAAAAAAAGAATTTGTACTGGAGGTTGTCCCTTTGTATTTCATATAGAGATCTGTAATTAAGGAATTTCTGGGTAAGATGTCATATTGCTAAGTTGGAGGGCTCTGGACTCTAATAGAGCATGATATGTTGAAGTAACTTTTTGTTAAATGTTAAATCACGTTGCAAATGTTAAATCTCAAAATGTTAAATCATGGATTTTTAAAAATTACTATACAAAGGACAGCTTCTGTTTATATTCATTGGCCCACAATTCAGTCATATGGCCATACCTAGCTGCAAGGGAGGCTGGGAAATGTATTCTTCATTTACATTGCCATGCACCCAACACAAAATTAGACACTGTGCCCCTGAAGGAGAGAGAAGAAGGGATACGTGGGGCTTACTGACAGTCAGCTTTTTATATCTCCAAAAGGTCGGAGAATATTAAGACCTGAAGGAGAAATAGGTATTAGCTAGATAAAGGGTGGAGAAAGCTGTGCAGGTTAAGGGAACAAACTAGCCTAAGACGGAGGCTTCACCCTGAGGAAGAAACTGGGGTAAGTTTAGAGAAAGGGAAGGAAGGCCACTGGGGAAGAGGTGGCAGAGGTGGAAGGATATAAGTACAAGTGGGCAGGGGTCAAGATAGGGCTTGGGAAGCCATGTGAATGAATTAAGACTTGAAGTGTAATGGGAACCTTAGCATCATTTTAAACTGAAAGTGACATGATCCAATTTACATTTTGAAAAGGTCATGCTGGCTGTTGCAGTGACAGTGGCATTGAAGAGAGGGAAGGGAGGTGTAGAGAGAGCCGCCTGGAAGCTATGGCAACCTGGTCTGGGCTGTCATGCACAAAACGATCAGAGGGATGCAAGAAATAGGGAAAAATTAATTTTATGATTCACTATTATTGCAATAATTGCTTTGTACCTATAGTTTTTTCTCTTTAATTTTCCAGAAAGAAGCCCCAAGTGATGGTTTTTCTCCTCATTCAGGCAGGTTCTAGTCTGGCTGCAATTAAATCAGTATTTACACATTGGCAACAACATGCACCTAACAGAAAATAAACTACTGGCTGAGACACAGGACCAAACAGATGGAGTCACGCCCACTCCCCTCAGCAAAACCAGCAGCAAGGGTTCTGCTTGCTGCCCCCACCCCACTCGTCCCCGTCCTCCTTCCCTATTTTTTCTTCTGGTACTTTAATCTGCGTCACACTCACCCAATATAGCCACAGCTGGCCTTTTTCATATTTATATCTGCCTCTAAAGTTTTTGTGTCAAGAAAAATATAACTAGAAACAAAATTTGAAATGAAAGTTTCATGCTCTGTTCTTTTCCTTTTGACCTTCATTTCCTTGATCCTGAAGTGGCTGGAGCTCTAGGAGCAGCAAAGAGACAAAGACCAAAAAGGACAGCTCAGGTAAGGGAGGGCACAGGGCGCCATGTGGGAGAACTCTCTGCTCTGCTGATGTAGGAGGAAAGATCCTCTTCAGCTCCCCACCCCAGCTTTCCTGGTTATGTCAGGATGACAATCACCCTTTCATACCTTGGTTTGAGTTTCTTGAGGCTCTTTGGCCGCCAGAGTCCATTTGGCATCAAATTCTACCCATTTCTTTCTTTGAAATGTTTATTGTATTCTTCGTTTCTGTCCCCACAGATCCTTTCCTAGTCCATCTTATCACCTCATGTCTGGACCACAACAGTAATCTTTGTCCAGTTTGTTCATTCATTCATTCAAAAACATGCTTTGAGTTGAGCACTTGGTAAGTGCCAAACACAGTTGAAGCCTTTGGAGTTACACTGAAGAAAGAAACAGTACCCCCACCCCTTTAAGGGATTTATAATTTGATGGAGTCAGATGGGTAAATCCCCAAGTTCAACACTTCTCCTTCCAGGCAACATTCAAGGCTCAAGCCTTGGGTGCCACAGGAACACAAAGATGGGGTCCCTCATTCCTCCCAAGAAGCCACCCTGGAGGGCCTGGGGTCTGGGCTGAGTCACAGGGGATGAGTATAAATGGGCTGGCCAAAGCGAATGAGGCAGGGCATTCTCAGAAGAGACACAGAGTCTGTGTGAGAGAGCATCGCACATTCTGGAAGCAGTAGCTGATTCCCTATTTATTTCCAGGTTCTAGTTTACCCCAAATCCACTCACCTTCACACGCATGTCCCCGTATAAACTCCTCTCCCCCACAGCCCGTCCCTCCTGATCACTTTCTCTTCCTCAAACAGGAACCCCCACCTCATCATCTCTCTACTGCTCTGATCAAACCTTAGCTATTCTTCCCACACCTTATTCATCCCCTCTCTGCTCCCCTCCTCCTGAAACTCTACTCTCAATCCTACCTATTCCTCCAGTACACCTCACAATACCTTCCTGCCCAGACTAATCTTTCCTTGGTTGTAACCTCTTTTATTTTATACTTTAATTGTTTCTTAGGTTTAAGTCTTGTTTCTTTAACATTACTAAATTTTTTTTATGCCCCTGAATTGTCTACTACAGCAAGCAAGGGCTGGGAACACAATAGGAGTTCAAGGACATCTGTGCACCACAACCACTAATAAATTACTCCTCCAAACTGGCTCAGGAGACAGCCAGAATATCACATTATATTAGGGATTTAGAGGACTACATAAATCCCAGGGGAGCTCTGCCAATTTACATCCAAACCAGGGATTACAACTAGTATGTCTGCAGGTGGCTATAAATGGGCAAAGAATCTAGGTGTCATGGATGTAAGAAATGTTTGACTTTTCTCTCAGTTCTATTGTATGTAAAACAATAGCTGGACTGATACTTGGTTTCAGCACTGAGGAGACAATAGGGAGTGGTGGGACAGTGGCAGTGAGAAACAGAAGGTTTCTATTAAGGCTTCAATTAATTGTTGTCATGCTGAAACATGGGCCTGGTATTGCCAGATACTCAGATTTTTTATGTGACATACTCCCTGCCTCATTAGAAAACTAAAGCATGATATAAACCAAAACTTAGTAGGCAGACAAAACATATCTGCAGACTGAATTCAGCCTGCAGGCTGCCAGTTCACAGCCCTATTCTAAGTGATGAGTATGATGCTGGCCCACATTTTCTCCAAGTCTGTGATTGTTTTTTCATGCTGTGTGACTGATAATACAATATGATTCATCAACGTTTTTATACACACATTCAATCTCACACATATACACACACACAGAGACACAAAACATACCCCATGAGATTGAGGTTGAAGAAGACAGAAATAGAGAATATTTCAAACTTATTTCTAGGACTTGAGAAAACAGTTTCAGTCACAGGAGATCTGGTGTCATAGGTACTACCATCCAGGACACTTCTCTTTCCTTGGGGCTGAGGGAAGCCCTCTTTTCTCTTTGGGCCAGGTAGCATACCCTTTCAGTTTGGAAGGGCAGTTACACCCAGTTTCTTGGAATTTTTGGATGAGAAAAGAGTGTCCCAAAGCTTGGAAAAACCAGTGTCCCAAAGCTTGCCTGTGAGGCTGAATCTTTCAACTGCCCATCAGGGCCTGGTATGGCCTATTGCAGTGCTTTTCAAACTTTAATGGGCTAACAGTTCCCTGGGGACCTTGTTAAAGCGCACATTCTGATTCAGTGGGTTGGGGTGGACTTGAGACTGTGTACTTCTCCCAGGAGAAACATGCTCCCAAGAGACGCCAAAGCTGGGGGCTGCGAGCCACCCCTTGAGTAGCTGAAGCCAAGTGGACCAAGAACAGGCTCTGGCTTCCAGCCATCTGGGTTCAAGGCCATTGCCAGTTCGGCTAGCTAAATCTCCTGGGGAAATTCACTTGGTTAACCTCTGCAAGTCACATTGGTTCCCTTCTTTTACCCGCACTGCCTTCACACAATGTAGTGGCAAAAACATGGGCCCTGTTGCCTGCCTGCCTAGCTTCGAATTCTGGCTCTGCCTCCTCATTAGGTGATATAGGTGAGTTAGTTCACCTCGCTGGGCTTCAGATTCTTCATCTATAAAATGGGGACTACAGCAGCAGTGACCTGTCGGCATTGTTGTGAGGATTAAAAGAGCATTAATGCATGGAATTGATGGGAGCAGTGTCTAGCCTATAATAAGCACCCCACAAATACTGGCTGCATTCTCTGAGAGTGCTCTGTGAATTACAGTACAAATGCATTCCTTTTTGACCTAGAAAAAGATACTCCCGCTGAAGACTGCATCCCTTGCACCAGCGACTTCAGTTGGAGAGATTCGTTCACTTACAGCGAGTGGGAAAGAGAGAACCCCTCCGGGCCACAGACGCTCTCACTCCTCAGCACTCTGGCAGCCTCCTCAGGGCTGCAGCTGGCCCCACACATAAGTACGGACAGGGGATTCATCCAGCTACCCTCATGGGACAGGCCTGGATTCCACCTCAGGCCTAGAGTCCTTGGGGAGGGATTCCACGAGGCTGTTGGGTGGGAGTGGGAGTGCCATCCACCTTAACCCTCTTATTTCCCTGTTTTTTACCTCCAATGGGGCTGGCAGAAATCCCAAGTGTGGCACCACCAGAGGCGATGGGAGTCCCTGCAAGCAGCTCTGAAGGGATGGTGATGAGGCTGACCCTTCCTGCTGTGGCTAGAGCTGCTCCCTCCCTGCTGGGGTGGCATGGGGGGTTGCCGAGCTCCGGTGGGCTCTTTCTCTGAGGCAGTGGGGAGCTGGCTCTCCCCTTTCCCTTCCAGAGCTCTTGGGGTGCCCCAACCTTCTGCAACAGAGAGTGAGAAGAAGCTAGGCCAGGAGGAGGGGGAGGGTGTCAAACTTCAGTGGGGCCCAACCCTTATATTTCCACATTCCAGGGCTCACCCATCTACCCGCTACTCATTTAACAAACATTCATTAAGTACTTCCTATGTGCCTATGTCTGACCAGAGATAGATCCCCAAAAAGGTAGAAGTGATTTATGTTTTCTAAAATAAAATATGAAAAAACCACTCAGTCTTACAAGATACCTGTTATAGATGACAATTTTAAAAATTGACATCAGTATCTATTTGCCCCCAGAAGAGCATTTTAGGCAAGTTATACATATCTTATTGAACATTTTTCTGTTCTACACTAACAGGAAATTATATTTGAGCCTTTTCTCACACCAGGAAGAATCTACGCAGACCTCATCAATGCCACTGCAGCATTCAGCTTTCAGAGGGATTCTGTCTGGATAGAGGGGAGAAGAAAGCTGCAACTAAGAAAAAACTAGAATTATCTTGTGCTGACAACATAGCCTTTCCTTGGAGAACCATTTGGGAGTGGGCTCCAGATGAGAACCTTATTTCAGCATTATTCCCGTATATAACTTTGCTTCCCCACCACCGCACATTACGGCACCTCCCCTCCACCCCACCACCACCAGGGTGGGCACAAGACAACGTGGCTTTTGGAAGGGCCGGGACCAATAGATGGAGAGAAGGAACGGAAGAGAAGCAGGACCAGAGGAGAGGTGGAAGAGAGCATGGAGGTGAAGGGGAAGTTGGAGGGAGGAAGTCAGAGAAGAGGGGAGACACAGAAAGGTGGTAACAGACACTTGGGAGAGAAGCTGAAGAGGAAAGAGAAGAACTACACCACTGAGAGGCGCCTCATCGTTTCTACTTATCATATTTAAAACTTGAAAGTAAGGCCATATACAAAAAAAGAAATGTGTTTTCATTTCTGTTCTGGACAAGTATGAGGGGTCAGAAATGAATTCCAGCCAAGGGCCTCTCCTTAAATTTCCCTTTCTGCCAGTTTTTCTTGTCAGTCCCTCTTTTCTGATTCAAGCTTTGGACCATCTTCTGTAGCACATTCCCTAACTTGGACTTTTCAGTCCAGCCCTGGTGTTCTAAACGGAGGTCTGGGTTTGAGGCTTCAGAAAGGCTCCTGCAGAAGGTAGTAAGACAAGGTGTTTATAAGGGGAATTTTTCTTCTGAGTTCACACTTTCTAAGTATGCTATTGTCTCGGCCCTATAAACACTGGTTCAATTTATTTTGTGTATGACACCCCCTCGAATTGTCAACATACCTTGCTAGTGCTTACTAAATTAGCTATTCCAAAGAGAAGAGATACAGGCTCAAAGTATAAGTAAATCAGAGGTTCACAAATTATAAATCAAAAGAGTCAGTAAGTGTCTGTCAGACGGACCATAGACTGGTCTCTTTGTTTAAAATGCACAAATTTCACGTTCATAAAAGCCAGACTAATGAGTATTTTAGAAAACTGCCCAACCTTCCAATTAGAAGGCTTTTTTATCCAAAAAAAAAAATCTTGCTTCGATTTATGATATCCTAGAGGGTCTTTTTCTTCACTGAAGTGGTTTTCAAACTGAAATGGCTGAAGAGCTAAAACATAAACCCCTGGATCACCATCACTCTTTTCAGTGATGGTTTATGTCCTAACTCTGGGTGATTTCAACATGTGCATGGATGATCTTTCCTGGCCACTGTCCCTTGAACTGCTGCCCAGTGATTCTGTCCTCCACCTTCCCCAGCCACTGACTCCCCTGATTGTACTCCAGAGTTTGTTAAGGACCTGTACCCCACCCCATTGTTCCCTCTTTCCAGTTATACTGCCTCTCATCTTTCCCTCTGAGCCAAATAATCCTTTGACCCCACCAATCCTGCCATCTATTGCTCCTTCTGGGTTTTCACTGTCCCTCCAGCCTAGATTCCATGATCAGTCATTATTATCACTCCCTGGCATGTGCCCTCAACTCCTCTGTGTTTCTTCCACTTTTTTGTATTCACTTGGCTGAGTCTAACTCTCCCCCAAGTCCATGCCTGCACCATGCCACTAAACTTGCCTTTAGAAAACCACATGACGAACTCACCAGTCTCACCTTAAAGTCATAAGCTCAAGCCTCAAGAGGGTCCTTAATGTTGCCTGGAGATCACACTATGTTCCCTTGTCTGTTCTCTTTGCTGAATGGCTATTTCACAACTTCTCTTTCCTCAAACCCCCAGTGCCACTGAGAACAGAGAAGCAATTGACAAAGAACTCCAAGCTCTCACCACCATATCTGCCAGTTACGTGGAACCAGATCCACAGACCTAGTTTCTCTCCTTGTTACTAGGAAGAACTGTCTTAACTCTAAGCAAAGTCCCCTTTTGTACTAGATCCTGTCCCATCTCATCTACTCAAGGACATTCCTCCAGCAACTTTCCCTTCTTTTTCCAACATCGATTTCTTCCTCACTCCTAGATCCTTTCCAACAGCAACAAACAAGCTGGTATTTCTCCTAAATATATTATTTCTTCCATTTTAAAACAGGACAAAAAATAAACTTCTCTTGGCCTCTCTGTCCCATTTTTGTCCAACCCTAAATAATAAAAATGGGTTTCCTCCCCATTCATCCTCCCCATTTTCTCTTGAACCCCTCCAGTAGGTTTTTGTACCCACTACCCCACCAAACTGGATCCCCACATTGCTAAAGCCAATGGCCAATCAGTTCTCATCTGACTGTTTGCAGCGTGTCACTTATTTAATTAGTCTGTCAAACCCCTCCACCATGTCCAAACATCAGAACTTTCCACGATTCAGTCCTTGGGTCTTTTCTATTCAAAACTAATGTTTTCATACCACACATTACCCATTACTCACGGATCTATATGTCTACTCCAGGACACTGAACTCCACAGATATATACCCAACTGCCTACTTGACACCTTCATTTGAATATCTAATAGTCATCCTAACATGTCCAAAACTAGTCTTCCAACATTATTCCTCAAGATTTGCTCCCCACAAGGTCTTCTCTATCCTAGTAAATGGCAGCTCCATTTTTCTACTTGCTCAAAACCCTGGAGTCATCCTTTATTCCTCTGTTTCTCTCCACCCCATTTCCAACCTATCAAGGGTCCTTTTAGACTACTTTCAAGATATATGTAGCATCTGACACTTCTGCTTCCACTGCTACCAGGACCAAGCCATCATTACCACCTGGATTGTTGCAAAAGGTGCTAAATGGGCAGCTTGTTTCTAATGTTACTCTCTTTGGACTAATGTGACCCATTTAAAAAACCTATGTCATTTTTCAAAATTTTCCAATGGCTTCCCATCTGTACTAGTTAAGGTAATGCTAACTCTGTTAGACATATGTTATGCCAAGAGAGAATCACCCTTTCTAAGATTGCATAAAATAACCAAAAGAAGTTCATTTCTCACAAAAAATCCAAAAAGTGTGTTCAGTAAGTGGCTCTTTAACAGGAACCTGGGCTCCTTCCATCTTGTGATTTGACATCTGCACTACACAGCTTCTAAGGTTGCCACAGAAAGACATAGAACTTGGAGAATGGCACCTGGCAGGTTTTTTTTTTTTTTTTGAGAGGGCATCTCTCATATTTATTGATCAAATGGTTGTTAACAACAATAAGATTCTGTATAGGGGACTCAATGCACAATCATTAATCAACCCCAAGCCTAATTCTCAACAGTTGCCAATCTTCTGAAGCATAACGAACAAGTTCTTACATGGTGAACGAATTCTTACAGAGTGAATAAATTCTTACATGGTGAACAGTACAAGGGCAGTCATCACAGAAACTTTCGGTTTTGATCATGCAATATGACCTATAAACCATCAGGTCAAATATGAATATTCATTTGATTTTTGTACTTGATTTATATGTTGATCCCACATTTCTCCTATTATTATTATTATTTTTATTTTTAATAAAATGCTGAAGTGGTAGGTAGATGCAAGATAAAGGTAGAAAACATAATTTAGTGCTGTAAGAGGGCAAATGTAGATGATCAGGTGTGTGCCTGTAGACTAAGTATTAATCCAAGCTAGACAAGGGCAACAAAACATCCACGGATGCAGAAGATTTCTCTCAAAACATGGGGGGTGAGGTTCTAAGCCTCACCTCTGTTGATCCCCAATTTCTCACCTTATGGCCCCCCTGCGACTGTGCCTGTCTTAGTTGTTCCTCCCTTGAGGAATCTTACCCGTCTCTGGATAACCAGGCTGGCATTTTTTTATGGCCAGTTCTGGAAGTAATGGACATCATTTCTGCCTGTCTTCCTTTGGCCAGAGCTCAGTCACAGGGCTACACTGCAAGAGAGCTGGGAAATGTAGTATAGTTGTGTTCACAGGATGAAAAAGAAACAGTGTGGTAAGTAGCCATTCTCTTCCATGCCATCTCACTCAGAGTAAAAGCAAATGTCCTTACAATGGTCTAAAGGCCCTGCACAGTGTCCCTCCCTCCCTCCATCACTGTTACTACCTCTCTGACTTCATGTTCTCAACTCTCCTCAGTTACTGCTCTCCAACCACACTGGCTTCTCAAACCAAGCGTGAGTCAGCTCAGGGTCTTTGCCCTGCTGTTCCCTTTATCTGGAATGTCATTCACCCCCTTTAGATGTTCACTCCCATGTCATCCTCTTCATGAAGCTTCCCTGGGCACCCTTTCTAAGATTGCAACACTGCTCCTGATAGTCCCAGTACTCCTTTTCCTCATTTCCTGTTTTATTTTATTCCTTATTTTTTTATACCCATCACCATCTGCCATTCTATATCTTTTGCTTTTATTTTGTTTATTGTCTTCATACCAGAATATAAGCACCATGAGAGATCCGTTCTGTTCACTGTTGTATCTCTAGTGTCTGCAACAGTGTGTGGCACACAGGAAACAATACATTTATTTGTGCACTGAACACTCAGTGGCACCATACGAGCAGAGTTGGGATGGTTAGAGAAGAGAGCCAGCCTTTGGGGGTGACATTCCTATACCTGCCACAAATGGTCCTTCAGTGCTTCTCTCAGAGATAGGATCCAGGGTTAGATGGGCCTTAGGAGAAGCTAAGGTGACGTTTCTTATGTGTGTCACACCTCAAGTCCTTTTCCTCCTCTACCTGCCTACCTCTGGGGCTCCCGTGAGGCCTGATGGACTTTTCTTCTTTCTGGAGAAAACTCATTTGTTCTAATGGCTTCATGAGCTGCCTCCTGGCCAATGGCCCTTATAAGTATCTCCTCCAGCCTAGCAGCCCTTTCTTTTTAGATATTCTGCCATCACCTTAGACTACCATGTCTTGAACTTAACTCATTTCCCTCGTCTTCCTCTCATCCAGTTCATTCTCCCAGTTTCCTATGATTAAAACTAAGCTTTTGATTGCTCCTTCATTTCTTTCATCCAAGCAGTCACTAAGTCAAGGACTTGTTATTTCCAGTTTCAAAAATTCTTTTAGATAAGTATTCATTTCCATTTCCCTTGCTCTGACTAGGCCAAATCCTTAACAACGCAGGGAATCTCAGGGTTGGAGGGCCCCATCTCTGGCAGAGTTCCAGTATTTTATCTAGCCTCCTCTGGGACACTTCCAAGATAGGTGGCTCTCCCACTAGGCTCCTCGAGGGCTGGGACCATGTCCTATTCACCGTGGGATCACCTAACACAGTGCCTGACTTCAAGGAGGTATTTTAAATATAGTTTTAAAAATACTTCCTCATGCAGCCTTTATATAGTTAATCATATTAAAAGATGCATCTCCCTGAAAGAACCACTTTTAATCTCATTCCACCTTCCATGTAGGCACAAGCTTAGAAACCTTCAGAAAGCTTAGAAATGAAGGCCCACAATTCCCATTGCCTTCAGCTCAGGCTCCTCAGATTGTTAGGACTTTCCATTGCCAAGAGAAACATCTGTTTTCCCTCATGACCCACCCCCACCGCCGTGTCTTTTGTCCCTCCCTCATCCCCTAACCAACCTAAGAATTTACCTTCCACTCTGTCCCCCACTTGTCCTTGTTCCTGTTACTTCTTTTGCTGAATAGTGCATTCAGGAATTCTTTACTCTAACCTGAGTCATC